TATTTAATTTCACTGATTTTATCAATGTTGGCTTTATTTTTCTTCCTTACACATCTGGGTAAGGTGTTTGGAAACTTCATTTATAAGCTGATTTTAAATTAAAGTTACCATATATATTAATTATATTAGTTATCAATAACCGGTTATAATTATTATCTTTGTTAGAAAACAGAAAAACCAAACAGCACCTAACTATTAAACTATAATGGTTAATTGAATTCAATCCTAGCTGAGAGTTGGGGTGGGCAGACTTTATTTTCTATTTAGCCCTATTTTCTTTCTTTCTTTCTTTCCATTTTTTTCTCTTTGGTTTTGTATCATTTATTGTCTCCAATATTGTCCTGACTCCTGAATGCTTGAGATAAATGAAATATACTTGATGACATTCTATTGTGTCTCTAATCAGAGAATCATTTGCTCATTGAAGGAAGTAAACCAAAATGGATTCCTATTGTTGCAAGTTTGTCAGCGGTTCTTGGATTAACTCTGGTCGGTTCTTTTTCTTTCATCATCTGGAGAAGGATAAATTCAAGAGGTAACCATTGTATCTTGCTGGATTGCAACTTCCTAAAACTAATTCTTGTTTTGTTAATCAAGGCACCTGAACCCAACCCTTTCAATTGGAGCTCTGGTCCGCAACCAGCTGCTCGAATCTTAGGCATTGTATCTTCTTTTTCTTTTTCCTTTTTCCTTTTTTTCCCTTTCTGTCTGTATGCCGCAAGAGGATTTGATTAGGGACAACTAATCGATTGATTGTGCTTCTGGCAGAAGATAAAGAAAACAGCCAAGAGGTTCAACTACTTGACTTGAGAGGAGGAAATTTTGGGAATGAATACTCAAATGAAGATTTTCAGGGTGATAGGGTAGGAGGATCTCAAGAATTTCCTTCGATTCATTTAGATATTATTAATGCAGCAACGAAACATTTCTGTGATGAAAATAAACTTGGAGAAGGTGGATTTGGCCCTGTATACAAGGTGATTATTACATGTTTCATTTGTAGGGCTTTTTCGATTTAAACAGACTTGCATCTCTAGGATTTAAATTGTTATTTGTTGCATAACTTTTCCAGGGTACATTAGCAGATGGTAAGGAAATTGCAGTTAAGAGGCTCTCTAGAACTTCTGGTCAAGGATTGCTTGAATTCAAGAATGAAGTTATGTTAATTGCCAGATTGCAACACAGGAATCTTGTAAGACTCTTGGGATGTTGCCTAGAGGATAATGAAACATTGTTGGTTTATGAATACATGCCCAATAGAAGTCTTGATGTCTTCCTTTTTGGTCTGTTCCTTGAACTACGAAAACTTCTACTTTAGACATGAAATGGAAGCAAGTTATGTCATCAACTGATTTTTACTTTTGGTTAATTTCAGATTCAAGCATGAGTGTAAAGTTGGATTGGCAAAAACGATATAGCATCATCAAAGGAATTGCCCGGGGCATCATGTATTTGCATGAGGACTCTCGACTTAGAATTATTCATAGGGACCTTAAAGCAAGCAACATTTTGTTGGATAGTCATATGAACCCAAAAATATCTGATTTTGGAATGGCAAGGATTTTTGGTGGAGATCAAAGCGAAGCAAATACAAATAGAGTTGTTGGAACATAGTAAGTCCTCATAACCCTCCCTCCCAACATCTTGCGATTTCTCTGCTTTTCTATAGGTTAGCATATGTCCTTTTTTTTTACAAGGGCAATAAATGTCCATAACCACATTCAATGGAGAAAACAACATATCACAATGTTCAAGTTCAATTAATGATTCTGGGTTTGTTTCATTTTGTTCAATCATGTAAAATTTGAAAGTGGATACATGGCACCAGAGTATGCTATGGAAGGGCTCTTTTCTGTCAAATCTGATGTTTTCAGCTTTGGAGTGCTCTTGCTGGAGATCATTAGTGGGAAGAAGAACAAGGGATTTCATCTTTCAGAATATGGTGAAAGCCTACTTACTTTTGTAAGTTCTTGTTGAATCACTAGCTTCAATATAAATTATTGATGTAATCAATACTAATCTCAATCCTAAAAATACATATTGTAGGCATGGAAACTGTGGGCTAAAGGACAGGGAATGGAGATGATAGAACCATTGCTACTGCAGTCTTGTGTTGCTTCTGAAGTGCTCAAATGCATTCATATTGGTCTATTATGCGTGCAGGAAGATCCAGCAGATAGACCTACCATGTCATCTGTGATTGTCATGTTGGTCGGTGAGACCATAACACTCCCTAAGCCAACAGAACCTGCATTTTCTGTTGGACGAGTTGTTGCAGAACCGGTTTTACCCTCTTTGGTCAACATTGTTAATTCTGTCAACGAGGTAACACTTTCCAACGTGTCCCCTCGGTGATTGATATGTGCACTCTACAGTTCTTCTATCTTGCATTGTCTAATAAAAGATTCTATGGACATTTATACAATGTATTAAAACAGACTATCAAATCTAGTGTGCATTAGCTAATCTTTTACATCTAGAGCGTGTGAAGGAGCTCATTAATGCCTTCATGACTAAGAAATTTATACTGACAGATCCTGTTTCTGATATCTCACGTCCATAAGATAATTGATAGAAATGTTCTCAACGTTAAAGTATTAGTAGCTTTTAAGAAATTTTAACTCGAAATTCGTTCCACACGCTTTGAGAGGGAGTAATCAGTTTTGTAATGACATTTGATGTATTATGTGGCTGAGTGGTGTGATAATCCAAGAGAGGATAATTGCCTGCTTCACGTTTTTCTTCCACTTGGCTTGACTTTGTTGGAACTTGTTAATACCTTGTCAACAAAATCCAGCCACCTGATTGCAGCTTATTCGAGGATAAGGCCCCTATCCCTAGTGCTCTTAAAGCTTATTTTCCCTCTTTCTCAGCTTCCTTATCTTATTTTTTATTTTTGGCCGAAAACAAACTTTGTACTAACATTAAACATAACCAAAGTCTTACAAGGAGACAGGAACAACAGAAGGAAAAACAAACTAGTAACAAAGCTACCAAAAAATAAAACACTCCAGCAAATGCATAATTTGAGGAAGGAGAGTCCCAATTCCCAAACACCTTACTTGCAGCACATCCCCAACAAGGAAGCTCTTCAATAGCTTGGGCATTGTTCCATTCTTCAAACAATGGAGAACAAAGGCAAGAGATGGACCCAAGGACTCACAACTGCATAGCAAGGATAACCTACCCTGTAACCTGCCTAAGATGGCAATCTCATACCATGGAACACCGACAAGAAGACAAAGAGAGGTTTAATGGAAGTCCTTGAATAACAATACCCCTGGTAGTGCTTGGAAAAGCAGATCCATAAGAAAGGAAAGCCGGCTACTTCTCGTGAAAGAACTTCTCCCACAGCCAACTTCCTTTCCAATGTCTTACTCCATACTACCAACCCTTGATTGCATCAGTACCTCTCCTCACATCATCCCTTCCCTTTAACAAAGCAAGAATAGAGATAAAACCAATGACATAACATGGCACTATTTTTAGATTATTTCTACATTTTACCATACTAACTAAGACATAAACAAAGAAAACAGAATTCTCCAAACCAAGATAAACTTGGCAAAACCAACCAAGAGCATCAAAACACTTAAACCGTATATTCAGTTCGAAAATTAGATCCACAATCATCACACTTTAGGCACCAAACTTGAAAATCACAAAAGGATAATGGATATTGACGATCATCTCTGCTAAACCATAATTCCCAAATCTGCAAATTGATCTTACGAACCACAAAGCAAGAATGGCAAGATTGATTAAGGTCTTTTAATAGATAAGTCGCCTTCAAAATCCAGCAATCCGGGCTGTAATTTGATGAATATGCAGATCGCCCAAACCCAAGCTTTAATACTTAATCACTTAGATCTCCAAAGGTGAGGTATCTATTGATTTCAAGAGCCAAGGCAACTCGCTTTGCGTAAATTTGCAAGAAATAGAACCAAGAACTGCCAAATGGATGATTTTGGATAAGAAGATTGGTTAAGGATTTAGACGCTAGAGATTGGGCAGGAGAAAACACAGTAGACATTTTAAGGGCTTTGAAATTGAAGTCAGAAAAAGTGATACTCAAAGAAGGGAAATGTAAGGCAGAAAACAGAAAGGATTTGGGGGAGAAGAGGAAAGCTAAGGCGAGCCCAACCGAGGCACAACCAAGGATGCAGAAAACGACTCTCAAACCTGCGGAGCGTCAGAAACCCTAACTACAACGTTACAATCCTCATTGCTTCCTTATCTTATTTGTACATACTTTTTTCCTTTGATTTCTCTAATTTTTATCAATTTCGCTTTGAGGTTTGTGTCCATGTCAGAAAAAACGAAAATAGGTGCTGCAAGTTTTGCCCAATAACCAGCCTAAATCTACAATTAAATACCAAGCCCTAAATCATACCTAATGGTTAATCAAAGTCATCACTCTGTCGTCTACTTTCTTCATTTTGTGTTTTGGATTCGAAGCATATCACTATTACATCCAATAATCGATTCTTTACTTTTGAAGACTAGGGCTTAGTTAGGCCCGTTCAGAGTCGGATGGGGTGTTTCAAAGTCTACATGATGTGGCAGAAGTGCAGGATTCTTCCGCATGACTTTGATGGGTGTCATAACCCAATTTCTGATCAGGGTCTTTATTTCAAAAATTTTTTTTTTATAAAATTTGCAAATTGTTCAAAAACTAAAAAAAATTATAAAAGATTAAAAACAAAACAAAAATATAAAATGAAAAAATATTTTTAATTGAATTAGTCTAATTCTATTTTATTTTTATTTCAGGACCTATTTGCAAGAAGTTAGAGGAGGAAAAAAGAGGAGAAAACAAAACACACCAAAAGACCAAATTGAAAGGCCGGAAAATCTGAGAACCTAATTGTCAAAAAATTCGGAAATCAAGTAAACCCAAGCTTATGCTAAACCAAAGCCCGTGTGATTTCTTGAAGTCGAAGCCTGCATTCTATTCAAGTCTGGCCCAAAAACAAACGAAATATGGCAAACACCGATTCAGCCCAATCTCATGTATTAAACCCATTCACCTCAAAAAACTGGAAGAGAGTGCGAGACTATTCGAGCAGCCGCAGCGACCCCTGCCTCTCTGCAACATATACCAATTCTAATTTGCAGGTGATTTCTCCATTGTTGGAGGATATCTTGCTGAGAGATGGAAAGGATCCTTGAACGCTTGATTGATGTTTTGGGCGTCTCAGCCTCAGATGACTCTTCCTCTATATTACTCATATCGTCTTCTCTGTTATATTGTGGGTTTTCATATATGTGAATGGCAAGTTTGGATTATGGCTCCTGGTTTCATGAATTTTATTTAATATTTGTTATGTTTTGCCTGAGTTTGGTGCTCTATGGCATTATCAAATATGTCAGAGGTGTGGGTATAGTTGGATTATCGTTGGAAAAACCCTTAATTATATATATATATATATATTAATTTTAAAAAAATATTTCTAATTTGTACCTTATGAACACGTATTAATAAAACCCTTAATTATTTTTTGATGAAAATAAAAAATTATTTTGTTTACAATCAAATCATACTTAATTCATTTTTATTTAAAAAAAAATTAAAATATAAAATAAAATGATTGGCCAGACCATTTGTATAACCGATCCAATTAATTGAACTGGAATGGACTACCAGAATGGGTCGGCCACTAGTTTGATTGTAAAAAGATTGATTTTAATTCTATACGTATTTCCAATTTTAATTATCTTTAATATTACGAAAATTTTCTTGTTATTTTAAACCCTTTATGAGAATAATATAAATAAGGAATTTTTTTTTTATAAATTTTGAATATTTTTTAATATTAATTATTATTTAAAAAATAAATATAATCTTTATTCATTTAACTATTTAACTAAAATAATTCACATAACATAAATAATTAAATTAATATCAAATTTTATTATTTTTAATATTAAAAATATATTAATTATACTATCAATCTATATCTTAAAAAATAATACAAGATAAAAAACACTCTATAAATAATAATCCATATTTTTTTTAAAGTATTACTAATTTATAAAAAAATTAAAAGCACAATTATTATAAAATAAAATGCAGAAGTAACGTCTCAATTGGAGACATAAAATATAGCATTAACTTAGACCCTGACCTAGACAAACAGACACATTTCATTGAATTGGCACAGCCTAAACGCGGAGACTCTTTTTCAATTGAATATAATGAGCATAGCTTAAATAATAGTACAGTACATGATTTTTTTTTAAAATATTTATTTAAAAGAAATTAAAAACACAATTATTGTAAAAGAAAGAAGGTAAAGGAAGTTACGTCCCCATGCGAGACATAAAATATAGCATCGACTTAGACCTTGCGCTAGACAAACAAACATTTTATTTGATTATTACAAACATTTTATTTGCGCTAGACAAACAAATATAATAAGTA